CCCGCCCAGCCAGGTGCGGGTCTCCACCCTCCTCCCTTTGTCTCCCTCCCTGGGAGGCTGAGCCTGGGTGTCTGGGTTAATCCACATTTGGGAGAGTCAATGGGAATCTCCCATCCCAGCGCAGGGGGACCCCGGTCACAGAGCAGACAGCCCCCCACTACGGCACAGAGAGCCCCTGAGATTTTGATTCTGCAAATAAGGATCGGGCGTGTGTTAATTTCAAACATGTGTGTAGCGCCCCCTCCTCTCACCCCGGCTAACGCGCCCCGAACAACCGGCTGAAATTGCACAGCACAGAGAGGGGAATGAGAGGGACTTAACTCGTCAATTTCAATAAGAAAACAGATTTATTACCAAGGTCGGGAAATATCTTGTGTTTTATGCTGGTGAGAGGATAAAGTCTTCAAGGGAGGGGGCATAGAATTACACTTGTTTCAAAACATTAAAAATTAACTGGTCAAAGTGTGTGTGTGTGGGGGGGGGGGCTTCTGGTTGGACAGTTGGAAAGTATGGGATACTTCCACGTTGAAGATTTTGAGGCGCTCAGGCAGGATATACAAGTTCCTGAAACCGAATGATGCCCCCATGCCCTGGCTCAGCCCCAGGGACTCTCCCCCCCACTTTTCCTGTCCCTGCTGCACCCTTACGCCTCCTCTTCCCTGCATCTTACCACCTCCCCGACTGCTCCCCATCCCCACTTCTCCCTCTCCCTCCCGCAGCCTGCTCAAGAGCTGTTCCCCCGTGCAGGAGGCGCTGGGAGGGGAGGACCGAGTTGCTCAGGAGCCGGTGGACCCCAGGGGTCTGTCCAGTTTGAGAAATGCTCTCTAGTTCCTTGCACTCTGGTACGTCTCTCCAGAGAAGGTCTCCGCAGCGGGTCCACTCCTGACGCATGTTCAAACCATGGCCACATTAGGGTTGCCAGGTGTCTGCTTTTCGCAGCCTCTGTCCTGTAAAAAAAAAACACAGAAAATTGTTTTTCTCGGAGGGAAAGCCAGTGGAGACGTTCTTCCCCAGCTGAGTCTGGCGTGGATGGGGGAGCAGGGTTATTTAAAGGCACAGTGATCTTCTTTTTTTTTCCCAAAAATGTTTGGTCCCCCGTTTTTTTTTTTTTCTCAACCAATTTTTTTCTCTCCATTTTTAGTATCCTTTTTTTTTTTTTTCTGGAAAGGATCTGGCAACCTAGCCATTGTCTGGAATCTTCTGCAGGAAGGGCATGTCTCGCCCCAGCGGCTACACCACCAATCCCACCCAGACAGCAGTAGCGGCCTACCGGGTGTCTCACCTGGCCCGATTGCCACGGCTGTCTAGCTGTCTCTCCGCGTCCAGATCTGGCCGAGCTTTCCAAACACAGCAGCGGCTAAACTGATTCGCTGTGGGCCACATCCTAAAAATGTGTAGATGGCGACCCATGACAATTACAACTGCCTTAAAAGGCCAATGCCTCCCACAGGAGCATTTCTTTTTCTGTTCAAAAGGTTAGGAAATTCACTTCCCAAAACTTGATTACTGCAAACTTACACTAGCCCGGTGGTATGACCGGCGCACTTTCCCAGGGCCTGGAGTTCAATAAAACAAATGTCTGAAAGCCGGAAATGACAAGTTAAAGTATTTGGAAATGCAACTTCCGGCTGTAATTCACCAGAGCAAAGTCGCTCACTAGTTTAACCCCTCTGGGTTTAAGCCCAGCATGAAATTCCTGTCCGTAAACATGGGTGTATGTGTCCGGGTAAACATAGTAAATGAAGCAGACAAGGCTTCTATATAAAACATTGGCACCCCCACATCTGGAATACTGCAGATGTAGTCGCCTGGTCTCGAAAAAGATCTCTTGGCCTTGGAAAAGGTTCAGAAAAGTGCAACAAAAATGATAAGGGGTTTGGAACGGGTCCCATAGGAAGAGAGATGAATAAGACCGAGACTTTTCAGCTTAGAAAAGAGGAGGCTAAGGGGGGATAGGATAGAGGTCGATAAAATCATGACAGGTGTGAAGAAAGTGAATAAGGAAAAGTGATTGACCTGTTCCCATAACATTAGAACTAGGGGTCACCAAATGAAATGTATAGGTGGCAGGTTTAAAACAAACCAAAGGTAGTTTTTCTTCAAGCAGCGCACAGTCAACCTGTGGAACTCCTCGCTAGAGGATGTTGTGAAGGCCAGGACTTTAACAGGGTTCAAAAAAGAACTAGATACATTCACAGAGGTTAGGTCTGTCAATACGTACTAGCCAGACTGGGCAGGGATGGTGTCCTTGGCCTCTATTTGTCAGGGGCTGGGAATGGGAGACAGGGCAGGGATCATGTGAGGATTCTCTGTTGTGTTCACTCCCTCTGGGGCACCTGGCACTGGCCACTGTCGGCAGACAGGACACTGGGCAAGATGGGCCTTTGGTCTGACCCGGTCTGGCCGGTCTTACGTAAGGGAACCTCCTAGGTGATAGCAGTAGTAGGTCTCTTCCCCTCTGAGCTGAGCCAGCAGATGGCGACACCTCCCCCTCACTCTGTTTCACTGGCACAGGGCACGTCAGTTTCATGTGCCTGAG